CTGTATCTTTTTTTGGGGGTTATTTTTTTTTGCTTTTTTTTTTTTTTTTTAATTCAAGCCTCAGTATTTTTATATTTGTACTTCCTTTTGCACTAAAACGCTGTACGAAGCTGTGTAGTAGAATGCTGTGAGCTTTACTGGACGTTTAACAAGGAATGTTTGCTTGAGGTTTTTGTATATCAGAAAATAAACTGTAAATTTTTTACAGTGGCTAAGCATCAATAGGTACCATGGCAATCGGCCTAGATTTGTATCTTGTAGCTAGATGACATATTTCACAAACTGTAGCTTTTTTAATTAACCTGTACGTGTAACACTGATTAATAAAAACAATAGTCTGTTTGATACAAATAAGTCTGTTCTTTCTGCTTGCTGCTTATGGAGCTAAAAGGTGATGCAGAGCACCCTATTGGACAGGAAGGTTTTTAAGTTCACTTTAATCCCTTTTTAATTTTAAAACTTAGAATTTTAATTTTAATTGCACAGTTGTTCTGAGTTTCCTAAGCTGTACTCTTCCCAATGGATTTTGAGTACAAATCTGTGAACTTCACAAATTCAGATAAAGACACATTCTTGAGCCAGAGAGCTTGGAATTTTAAGTTGTGACATGACAAAATAGGCAGTGATCTGAAACAAACAGAGGGAAAGGGAGATGAAGGACAAAAGTGAAACCACTGGCAGCTGCATTACCTTGCTGGTTTCATAATATTAAACTCCCTCTGACAGTCAGAAATAAGGGGGAGTTCCAAAGAGTTTAATTTTCTGTTAATCTCTGTGGGTGCTGCACAGATATCCCTGCTCTGATTGAAGCACTCAAGTATTGCATTACAGTTAGCTCAGTAATCTGGGGGCATAAATGAGATAAAAAGTTCCTTTCCTGGAAGAAAAAAGTATAAGAGAAGTATTTCAGAACAGAGAGGGAGGCAGGCTGAGCTTGTAGGAATCATTAACTCTGCTTCTGTGCAGACCCTCTGGAAGAAAAACACATTAAAGCAGGAGACCAAGGGAATTTTCCTGGGAAGATTTCTGAGCAGGGTATAGAGATGCAGTAAATGAGAATGCAAACCTCTCTCATACCTGCCTCAGGAACTTGCCTAAAGGCTTAACACTGGGCAAGCCCTGAGCAAAAGCCTCTCCCTTTAAAAGAAAACTTTTCTTATGGAAATCTTTCCATGGATTTTGCAATAGTGATATACAAATTTTACTGTATCTAATTACTTCTTGAGCTGATAAAAAGAAAAAGGGAAAAACCCAAACAAATACCCACTTCCATGCCCTAATTCTGTAATACCTGTTAGGACTGCACAGCTTACAGTCATCACTCCTATCCAGAGCAGACATAATCTTTAAGGCAAAAGCTTTCACAGGCACAGGAATCTACTTCTAGTCACCAAAGCCATTAAAAAAGTGCTTTTTAAGCACACACTTGGACTGATGGAAAATGAGAGTATCTCTCTATTTAATTGGTCCACGCTCTGCTGCACTGAGTCAGATCTCTGACTCCCAGGGATATCATTGACTCTGTTTATGCTGGTCACACTATGGGGCAAGTGGGGCCAAGTCTTTGTGGTCAAGGGCAAGTGTTCCTGGGGGTGGGGAGTGGGATAAGCCTTGCTTCACCATGGGCAGTACACAGAGGCACAGGGCAGTCAGGGAGACCCAAACTCATGCTGGTGCAACCCAGTAAGAAACCAGAATGTGGGCCCAGTTTACTAGAAGCAGAATTTGCTTTTGTGTTACTTCCACTGCCTCTGCAAAATGGGATGCAGGGCATTTAAAGCATAAAGGGCAACTTTATACAAGAATAAACCATCTAAGTATATTTTATAATTCACTTTTCTTCCCATAACTACACCTGATGAAGAGGGACTTCCTGGGCACTTGGATAATTGCAGTTATCACCAAAATAAGTCTCTCAGTCTGGAGTTAAAGTCATTTTGGACACTATGCAATAAAGCATTTTTTTTCCTTTATTTTCCACACAGGAGACTTGGCCCTTGGTGAGATTTTTAGTACTGTCTTATTCTTCCTGAATAGACTGAGATGAGCATTGTCCATTGCTGCTACTCCTCACGTACCCACCAAAGCCCCAACGTGAAGCCTGGCTCTGCAGCATGATTGCAACACTTGCTCAGCTGCAAGAGAGTCAAGGCTGTTAACAGATGTTTCATTACTCCCAGTACATGCTACTACATGCTGTGAGAAAGCTTATAAAAGAAGGATGTTTGTTTGATTTTGACTCACCACCATAAATGTTAATACTTCGTGTCACTTCGACTTGTTGCACAACTGGCCTGGTTAGGGATTTATTGTAAATGCATCAGCATTTTCAGAGCAGATCAGTAGGGTGACGTCTGCTGCCAGCAGCTGCTGAATTTTAAATCTCTAGGTGGTGCTCGTGTGGTTTGAGACCACGAGGTGAATTTTGTTATTGTTCTAGAACCCTTTTTTTTTTTTAAGAAGACATTCTGTCCGTAGGAAATTCAGTGTTTTAATAACATGGGTGTCTCTTAGCTCCATTTTGCTGTTCCTTGAGCAGGCAGAGGTTGAGGTGGGAGCAGGGCAGCTGCGAGCTCTGACTCAGATGTGCCCGACAGCCACACCTGGGCAGGAGGAGAACCCTTCCAGTTGGCTTGGCTTAACCTAACCAGACCCAACGCCTCCTGCAGTTCCCTGGTCTTGGGTGTTATTTAAAATTTGATAGAGAGCACAAACATTTCTTTGTTTCTATGAGACGAATGAATCCACAGCTAGAGAGCTTTCAAACCAAGTGTGACCACAGGGCCTGGCTTGCAAAGGTGATTAACTCATTCAACACTTTGCTTTGTTCTCAGAACACCAGGAAACTTGCTGCTTTTACTTTTTTTTTCCCTATAAAAGGTTTCATCCTTCCTCCACAAAGGCCAATCTCCGTGTTTTGAGAGTACAAGGAGCTGTGGGTAGGTTAATATGGATGCAACATTTCCTAGTTCACTGTGTGAAGGAGAACCCTTTTCCAGACAAACTTCACCTAAAGCTACTTAAATGTATATATATGTGTGAATGAATGTATGAATTAAACGTATATGACAGATGAATGGATGTGTTTCAGGAGTTTATCACCACTCCTGTGCCAACATAAGTAAATTCACTTTTTAAAAAGATGCCTGTGTATACTTCACATTCAGTTGCATAAGTGATTAACAATACTAAATGCAACAGACATCTTTTAGGGAATACTTCAGAGAAAGCCACTGTGGAAGATTCTGATTTCACTTTTCATGATCCATATCCAAAATAATTCATGTCAGGGAGTTGCACAGAATTATTCAGATGTTTGGTTAGGGTTTTGGTTTTTTTTTTCTGTAGAACCTAGTGGAGAGCTCCCACCTATCTATGTTCTGTCTCTCCCATACAAATGCTTAACACTCCAATACCCTGCATTCAAAGTCATCGTCCTGCTGAGAGCTGCACAGTGAGAGCTTTGATCTGCAAAGGATTAAATTGTATTGAGAGCTTTACAGCAATAAAGTGCCTATGTGCTCAACATAAAATTACGTTAAATTGACTGATCATGGAGAGGTTTGACTAGAAAATTGCTGAAGTTCAGGCACATCCTGCTTTCAAATCCATTTCACTAAAGCTCAGGCTATTCTGTGGACCTCCAGCTATTATTCTAGATTCTGTTCTGCCAACACTGGTGCAAACCAGTAAGAAATCAGGATGTGGGCCCAGTTTGCTGGCAGCAACATTAGCTCTTGTGTTACTTCTACTGGCAGTAACATGTAGTGAAAATAGCACGTGCAAGTTTGGGCTCATCTGCTCAATAATTCAGTATCTTAATAGGTCAATATGTTCTGTTAACTTCCACAGAAAAATAAAATCAAAAGGGATTTCCATATTTCATTTTATAGTTCAAAATATTTTTTTTATTTTGAATAAGTGCAATAAATACATTGCAATAATGACAATGTAATACCCTTGTATGCAGTAAATACGTGGAAATAATGTAATGTAATACTCCATCATTATTGAATGAAATTCCTGGGACTAATGATGTGCTGAAACTGAGAAGAGAGTTGTGTACACTGGCCTAAGTGGTAGCCCAAATAGCCTAAGAATGGTTTTGGTTGGTTGGTTGGATTTTAACCAAGTCAAAGTTGTGTTCAAGGTACAGACAACATTTTCACACATACACAAGATTTGAATCAAGACCTTCTTCATATTATTATTATTATTATTATTATTATTATTATTATTATTATTATTTCTATGTTTCAACATTTTTGCTTTCGGTGCAAACCCAATGGTTCATGTGGCATCTCTTTGGTTCTGACATCCTGCTCAGCACCTCCAGGAAGGTGAATGCCTTGGTCTGACTGAAGGTGGTAGTTTTACTCACAGGATCATTTTGCCAGTGGTTCAGACTACAGACTTCAAGGAGGACTTTCCTGGATGTGCAGGAAAAGGAAAAATTATCTAGAAACTGTGAGCACAGGGCTTGAGAGCACAGATTTATAACCCTGGCTAACACACACACAGCATGGAGATGGGCCCAGGAGTGTCTCCTGACAAAGTCTGATGTCAAAAGTCCAGGGAAGGGATTTTCCTGAAGCTGTTGGGATTTCCCCCAAGTCAGCAGGTAGGGTTGATGACAGTGTGGTCACTCCTGTGCTGCAGTACCCCTGCTCTGAGCACACAGGGATTGCACCCAGGGGTGTTCTAACTTCCAAAAGCTGTCATCTTCAGCCCTCCTCTCCATGCACAGCCAACAGCAACATCTGGCCTGTCTTTCAATGGTTGAAAATATATGTGAAATCAAAGTGCCTGTCACCGTGTACACGCAGACAGAAAATAGTTACGGGATGTAGGAATTTAATATCATAAAAATAAATTCCATTTCAATCTGGAAGGTAAAACACTGTGGTCCAGGTTATGAAACAGGTTTCCTAGGAAATTTCTTGGCTCCTGCTTTGCAGTTCCC